ACACTTAGTTTTACTGTATCTTTTTAATGAGCCTTGATAACCAAAGAGTAGTTTTCCAGCTTTTCAAACTTCCTCTTTCAGATGTCTGAGAATTCTTAGCCCTTTGCATTTTACATGCATTTTTAATGAATTTATCAATTTGCACAAAAATAACTTTTAAAATTTTCATAGGATTACATTGAATCTGTCAATGTGGAAGAACTACCATTTTTATAATAATTGAACTATTTAGGAATATTGTAGATTTTATTCAGCACATCTTAAATTTCTCTTAATAACATGCTCTAGTAGCTTGAAAATAGGGCTTGCATAGTCTTCCTCACATTTATTTCTGATGATTTCAATGTTTATTTAAGTGGTATGCTTTATATATAATTTTCTAATTGTGACCATAATACAGAAAGTTTATCAAGTTTTACATAGACTTACAACATTTACTAATTATATTAATTTTCTTATACTTTCTTTTAAATTTTCTAGGTGCACACTATCTCATATGAAAATAAAATAGCATCATTATTTGTTGTTTACAGTCATAATTTCTATTCCATTTTTTTGATGCTAGGGATTGAATCCAGGGCTTCCTGCAAACGAGGCAAGCACTCTACCACTGAGCTATATCTCCAGCTCAGCAATCACACTTTTCCATTCCTTTCTTGTCTTATTGTATTGCCTATGATTTCTAGTACAATGTTAAATAAGAACAATATTATAAGATATGTCTCTCTCTTTCTTTTCTTAGCCATACTGGGGATTGAGCCTACAGTGCCTCATGCATTCTAGGCAAACGCTACCATGATCTATATTCATAGCCTTTTAAAATTTTATTTCAAGACAAGAATTACTAAGTTGCTGAAGCTGACCTGCAATTTGTGATCTCCAGTAGCTGAGATTACAGGCATGTGCCACCATGCCTGACCAGATATGTCTCATTCTTGATCTTAAGGGGAAGCTTTCAAAATTTTATCAAGAAACATCATGTTTCTGTGGTTGTTTTCTTACTGCTGTTATTTTGAGGAGGGTAGCTTTTTATTAGATTTAGATAGTTTCCTTCTATTCTTAACTTGGTAAGATATATTTATAACCAATTAATTTTTATTTTATCAAATTATTATTCTATGTCTAGTGTAATGCTTATAGGGATTTTCTCCTTTACTCTTTAAAACAGGGTGAGTTACATTGATTTCTCAATGCTTAACTGATCTCATATCCCAGGAAGAAATTTTCTTTGGTGATATTATATTAGCCTTTTATAAATTACTGGATTCTATTGGCTCACATCTCATTAAAGTTATTTTTAAAACTATATTCATGAGATAAATTGTACTCTTCTTATCCATATGTTTTGTGTTCTCCATAGGTTTTAGTAGCAAGAATATGCTGGTTTCAAAAGAGAAAAATGATTTGAGTTTTCCTGTGTTCTCTGGAAATTTGTAATAGGGGTGATATTTCTTCCTTAAACATTTGTAAAAATGGCATTTGGACCTGAGATTTTATTTGTGAAACTATTTAGTTAAGTATTCAATTTTAAAAATAGTTATAGTCTTATTAGATTTTACATTTTTCTCATGTCAGCTTAATAAGATTTATTGTAAAAGAAATTTGTACATTTTGTCTAAATTTCTAAATGTACG